GTTTTAGCTTCAAAATTTTCTTGAGCAACTATTCAGCGTGCTTTCTAAAATATCTGTAATATAAATATTACCAACACTTCGTAATAATGTTTAGTACTAATGCTTGGTACTTGCTATATATAGATAACGGATGCTTGTTCAGCTTGCTTTGAGCAACGCACAGTTTTCACACAACAAGTCTTGACAATTGCCTTGAACCGGATGGTACACAAAAGTTTGCCAGTACTTAAGGAAAAGTGATAATCAAATCACCTGGATTATTTGTTCACAGGAAAGTGTTCGTTTTGCAGGTTGATCAAACTCCTCTTCCACTGCTCTTCATGAGAACTGTGATCCAGGCAATCGATGCTTTTCCTACATTGGTAAGTGCAGCTCATGCATTCGTAAACTGATTCTTATCTGAAGTGTTGCATCAATGTGCATAATCTTTCTATGTACACTTACTTCTCAAGGGAAAGCGTGTTTTATTTTTTTCAAACATAAAACATGATGCACTGTCTCACTATGGGTCATAAGGAAACAGTCTCCCTGTGCTTTAGTACAGGGGTAAGACTGCGTACATCCGACCCCCCCTTACCCCACCGAAGGTGGGAGATTTTGCGGCACTAGATTGGACTACTGGACACTGCTTTTTGCTTGCCCCAAAACCAAACACAAGGAAATTTTATGAGGTCATCGTCAGGTTTGTGAGACATGTCTATGGAGTAATTTTGAGAAATACCACAACCTGGGGTTACCTGAGGAGATTTCAAAAAAAAGAGCATCAGTAGAATAGCTACTGGTATCACAAATTATGGGCTTCTCTTTGCAACTTTTCAGTAGAAAACCTATCCTAATAGCCCAACTTTATTTTTATCTATCTATCTATCTATCCACCCATCCTTCTGTCTGTTGTTTTGGTTGTTGTGTGTTACACTGTTACCTAGACACTGTAAATTTGTGCTTGCCTGATATCCAGGCCAACTTCTTCATACCTCACTAACTATGTTTCTAATTTGCTTCACATTCAGGTCGATGTTGTCATGGAATTACTATCAAAACTTGTAAGCAGACAGGTAACACTTTCTGAAACTGGATATCGCTAACCTCTTTTCTGAGTAAATTCATTGGCTTGCCTCTAAGAAGTGATGTCATTTACTTTTATGACTAGTAAATGACTCTATTCGACATTTCATGTTTCTCATAGGTGTGGAAAATGCCCAAGTTATGGGTTGGCTTTTTGAAATGTGTCTCACAAACACAGCCACACTCCTTCCGTGTATTGTTACAGGTATACCAGTTTGCTTTTGTTAAATGTATATTGTCTTGTGTTGATATTTTTTTGGATCTATTAGTTCATATATCCTTCTGCTTGCAGTTGCCTCCCACACCGCTTGAAAGTGCTTTAAATAAACATGCGAGTCTTCGAGGACCTTTGTCTGCATATGCTAACCAGTCAAACATTAAAAACTCGTTACCCAGGTACATCTCTCATTTATTCTGCTTAAATGTTTTTGTCTCCAACTTAAACAAATTTTCTGTAAATGTTTTCTCTAGATATACACATGTCCGTAATCAGAAAAGGGGTGATGACCATTATTTAGAGCTCATTTGAGGAGTGTAGCGGAATTTGATTGAATTGGTGAAATTTTTGCAGATGTTGTATGAAATAACTGAATTATTTAAAAATTAAAATAAATATGTAGTATTTTAATAAGTTAAGGAAAACAATATCTATACAGTGAGGGCATAAGTGCCATTTCAACCAATTTTAATATAAATTCATTTTGAACTGATTCAGCTGATGCAGTGGAATAGGTCTGTGTGAGTTCAAATTCTCTGTCCCATTTTCCTTCCCCACCTAGGTATTAAGACTACTTAGATTACCTCCCTAGATGGTCCTCCTCGGCCGACGACCTTAAAAGAGGAGTAGTTCAAAATCTTATATATGAGTTTGTATCTATCTTATACTATATGATTTTGTATCTTTGTATTTGGATGGTGTTGGAAACCTTTATTTGGCCTGCAATTTAGTGGCTCAGTGGACCAATTCAATTTTAAATTTGTGTGCTCTTTTGAGTCTTTGTTGGACCAAGTTGCTCGTTTGAGCGTAAGTAGCTATGATACTATACCAAGTTTTGAGTTTCTATCCTAAAAGTCAACCTTATGGGAGGAATACTCCAGAAGCATAGTTTGTCTATTTGTATTTGGCCAGTGTAGTGCGACTTTACAATGGGTACACCACATGAACACCAACATATAGCGGGCAGGGCCGTTCCTGTGTTTTTCAAGGCCCAGGGGCAAAATTTCAATATCACTATAAAGTCATACTTAGTGTGAAGAAATCAACAAAATTCCCCATTAAAAATATTGTACGGAGTAAAACATTGTGAAGAAAAAATTTCATTAACACCTTCAGAATCATCATCACCATTACCCTAGTGCCGCAAAGGCTCCCACCTACGGTGGGGTAAGGGGGGGTCGGATGTACGGAACCTTACCCTTGTACTAAAGCATAGAGATGTTGTTTCCGGATGACCCATAGTGAAAATCACGTCGAAAATTATATGGGCCGACTACTGCTTCATAGCAAAGAAGCGCAGACAATTTAGTGAGTTATTTTGCTTTATTCCATCATGTTCTAAGCAAAAAAATAGCGAGTCTTGGGCTCCCTATTTTTAAATCACCTTCATAATAATTAAATAAATATAATCTTGCATAAGATCGATCGATCAACGTTTAAGAGATCAATAAAAATGCACACTATCGCACTCATAAGAAATAGATAAATTGCACACACAATAACACAATAAACCTTAATCAGTTAAAAATGAATGCGTAGAATTGTAAAAAACCGAATACCTACAATTATGTTTTTACTTGTTGAAGCTGTGTCTGTTCAGAATTTGGATTTTTTTGACGTTTTAAACAACTTTCGTACTAATATATTTGTCTCAAAACTACATATAAAGTATTAAAAGTTTGAGCATAAAAGGGAAGACAGAATCATTATAAGAACACATTACAAGAAAAATTATTGGGCCTAAAAAATTCATTTGTTTGGGCCTAGGTAAATAGCCCCCTCTTGCCCTCTGCCTAGGGCCACCCCTGATAGCGGGGATAGAGAATTTCAACCCAGTCACCATTGGGTAGAAAACTTGTTGAAGGCCTTATGACCAGACCCCCACTCGGATCATTTGTACTGTCCCGGTAAACCATAAATGATTAATGTGCATGTTTTTTTTTTTGTGTTTCAGGTCAACATTGGTGGTTCTTGGCCTGCTTGAGCCGAATATGCAACAATTGCCACATGTTTCATCTTCCTTGCATGCATCAGAAGTAGTGAGCCCAAGCCCATCTGTTCATGGTACTGCTTTGATGCGATAGTTTTGACCTTCAAATATGGAGGGAGCTATTGCACCCTTCTTTAGTAATATTTTGCTCCAGACTATAAAATCAACAACCACATCGGTTAAGGGCTTATTGGCATCTCTGCGCATCTTGGCCTCAACAAGTTGTGAATCAGTTAATTGCCTGACTTGCCTCTCGTTGCCTGCCTGAAGTAATGGTGTTGCAATGTGTTCATGAACTCCTGGATGCAATTTCAGTTGCAGCGGCTCGTCGGAGTGGTGATCAAGTCAGCTAACAAATATTTGAGGAGCCCCTGCTGCTCTATCACTTGGGGGAATGTATATATTCACAGTTGTTAGTATCACTAGTATTTTTTTTACATTTTAGTTAATAGTTTTCTTGTAAGCTGCAGTTTTAATTTATTATTTTTGTATTTGTCGCCCTGAGGTTGTTGTATCGGTAAGTTAAGCATTTTCTTGATTATTTGGTTCAGTTAAATCTCCCCCTCATCGACCTTCGCGACTTCATCTCCGCGTGTGAATGTACTTATGTACCTCAAAAAAAGAAAATATGCTTCGAGGTATATTGAGCAAATTAGTGATTGAAAAAGTTAGGTATGTTGCCCCTTCGATTAAAGCAGGATGCAACTGATTTTAGATGAGTAGATGTGATTTGGCAATAGAAAGAAAAGTGTAGCATTACGTTTTCCTTTTGAGGAAAAATAGTGGGTAATCTGGGTATTAATAAAATACGGAGTAATAATTAGGGGCTAAGAATCCTAGCTAAGATTTATGGAAAAGCCACTAATGACCCAAAAAAGCACTTTCCCAGTTAGAATATAGGTAATCCGACATTCCGACTCTTTGTTTGTCTGTCATTAAATGATTAAATAAATATCAAGGCAAGAGACAGATGTCTTAGTATCACAAAATGAACAAATAACCCCGTCCGGTTCTATATTGATTTATTCGGGTTGATTTTGGTTCGATTTTGATTCAGAATTGGACATAGGCATGGCCTCGGTTCGGGCCGCCCGGCCCGGGACCGGCCCGACCCGCTACTGTGCGGGCCCGGCCCGGCCCGGTTATCCGGGTCCGGGTCCGGTTCGGGCCGGAGGCCCGGGGGTGGGGCGGTTCCGGGCTCGGTTCATGGTTTTGACGGCCCGGCCCGGCCGGTTCGGGCCCGGGTCCTGGCCAAATCTATTTTTTTTTTAATTTTTTTCATTTGTTTTGGGCTGTTGGGCTTGGGCTATCTGTTTAGGCCGGTTTGGGGGGGTTTGGGGGGGTGGGGGGTGGGGGGGGTGGGGGAAGAAAGGAAAAAAAAAAAATTAAACCGGGTGGCCCGACCGGTCCGGCCCGGAACCGGTGGCCACCGGTTCGGGCTCGGGCCCAACAAAACAGACCCGAGGCCTGGCCGGGCCTAGGCCCGAACCGGGCCCGAACCGGCCCGGGTCCATCCATAATTGGACATTTGGACGGTTTTGGACCCATGTGTTGCCACCTATATTTGAGATTCAATTGATTCTCAAATTGAGATCAGAAGTTCAACTATACAAATTGTACAAATTTTACACAAATAAATAACCACAACAATTTTGATGTGAAAATAGAAACGTTGCAACTAAACAAATTGTACAAATTTTACACAAATAAATAAAGGAAAAATGAACAAGAATAAATGGAAGAAGTTTTTCACAAGAGTGTCGAGACAATTTATATTGAATAACCAAATCTACACAAAATGTGTCATACAGTTCATATGGAATGAAACTAAAATACTAAATGAGTAAATGAATGGTATAAACCATTTACATTAGATTTAGGATCTAATTAGCGATTTGTTTTAGGAGTCCAGGCAACACACTTAGCATTGGCTGGGTAGGGCCCGGATATTAGCATGTCACTCTAACAAAACAACAAGTTACAAATGAATATTTGAATGAATATTTTCTCTGTAATAACCCATTTACTTTTGAGCTAACTAACAGTGAAGTTCACAAAACTTGTATTGTGACCAAAGGTAAATATAAAGAAAGTCTTCAGGCTTCTAAGATTCACCGTCCAAACAAATATAGTCTGATTTCCACCTGTGTACATGTATAACATATATTGCTGTCCTTAAGGGACACCCTACAGCAAAAATTCACACATCCAAATATCCAATGCAATGCTCCAATTCTTCTGAAGTCTTTATCCATCAAAACAATCCTTTGGAGACAAACCACAACATGGTGGTACCCACTTCATTATGGATCTTCACCATAATAACTGTTATGCAGAAAGAAATGAAATATAAGCTCCTGGACAGCAAGGGAAAAAAGTACAAGTATATGATCTTTAGCATGAGAGAACTGGTTTTGATCATCACAAACTACGTACGGGTTATCATCATGCGTTAAGAAATAAGAAGAAAACCACATTGCAGAATAGTAGCACGTAAACATAAAGTTCTTTTTTTGTTATTGTTGGACTTTGATTTCACAAGTTAAATAAAACCTCTGACGTATCAGTCACACCTTAGAAAGAATTAAGGGCCAATATGAGTACAGTGGTAACACCCCATGGCCCATGTAAGGATGTTTTTACATGGACTGAATTTTTTTGGTCTGGTCTGGTCTCATAAATGTCTAGTCTCTGTATTTTATAACTATCCAAGTCTAGTCTGAGACTGAAAACAGTCCATGTAAAAACATCCCAAGGCAACTGGGATTGGAGAGTACTTTGATCAAGGGCATAAATCAATAATATGTAGGCTGCTGCAGAATATAAATGCTATAAATTCAGAGCCTTTTTTAGAACGAAATGTCAATCCATTGAGTTCCAAGTCTCATAAGAGAACAGAGCCCCACTTTCCTATATTTCAAGGTAAGGAATATAGTACAGGACCGAGGCCCTCTCAGATTAATCTTACTGCCCCTTTCTTCCATCATCAACCTACCCAAACAAACCTAGGGAAATATACCATATATTATAACTAATATCAGAATTGATCAAATATCTTAGACGAGCAAATGACTCCTTGCTTGATCAAACTATTGAAAAAACAGGGTTCTTGCTGAATAGAGATTTAAGCATAACTTTTGGTATTTTATTGCTTTCAAGTATTGTGTGTATCTGTGGGTGTGTTCCAGTGAAGATTGAAGTTAGAAAAAAATGTCAGACCTCAAGGAATAAAAAAACTTCTTTCTTCCTGTCTGAATCTGATTTCATAATGTTAACGGTAGAAGAGTGCCAAAGTTGTTATTCAGGACGATCCAGCCTTTTGGGTAAACAATTTCACCGGCATCCAAATGAAGGTGCCAATTTAACACCTTTGAACAGCCAGTAGGTATCCCTTCCATTTGACTCTCATCTTCTACAAGCTGCTCTATAAAGGTTGTTTCCTGCAAGTACCAACAAACATTAGCTAACAAATATCTAGCAAATGGCAATTTAAGAAGGAAGCAGTGTTTATCTACCTGAAAGCCTTCTTTCACTGTGTCCAGTTGCCGAATCGGAGCAGCAGTGGGTCTACGCCACAATTTTGGATCCCACAAAATGGTGCTATTAAATGCAAAACCAGACATATCAACATGAAATCTGCGAAGCCGTTTACTCTTCTCATTTGTGTGCCATCCAATTACGCGATCTCCATTGCAGACCGGACCTTCCAATATTGCTTTATTCTTGTTTTGTTGCAGCATAGCTACCGGCCAAGTGCCAAAACGACTACAAGGAGAATATATGATTAGATAAAAATTAATAAGGGCATGGTAAGAAAAATATATTCCACAAACAAAGTTGCATGAATGGTTCTCACTGAAGAATCCATAGACTAGAGAGGAACAATATGTAGACATCCGTTGGCAGTGTATTTTTGCAATTATGATCATCATTAATATTAAAAACCAGTAGTATTGGATATAAAGCACAATAGTTTATACACTAGAAAGAGGAATTTTAGTCTGTTCAAGTTAATACTTCGATTCTTAGGTTTAAATTAGTGACATTAGTTAACTATTTCAACTTGCCAAATGTCAATCCACATAAAGCCTGAATATATATTGCAGTTTGGCACATGGAAAAGTACCTGATTTTTCTTAAACTCTCAAACAGTTCGAGTGAGTAGATATTATCGTCATCTGCAAAGTAAACAATCCCGTCTAGCCTATGTCGTTCAATATGCTCCAAAGCGTAGTTCCTCTGATGCACACCACGGTCTTTCATGTCCGTCATATTCTTGGAACACACCAGATGCCTATACATAACTCCCATCTTTCTTAATATATCTGCAGTTTCCAATGAAGCTGCACTCATCTCAACCACAACCCACAACAATGGTGGCTGCACCAGCTTCAGAACCTGTCCCAATCTATTCAAATAATAAGCTTGTAAGGCCCTATTATAAGTTGGAGTGACAATGATAAGCTGTTTCTGCGGAACTAAATCTATCTGTTCAATCTTCTCCTCTACTTGTAATTTCACCCTATCCACAAGAGCACTAGGTCTAGGAATGACAACATCCTTCAGCTCCAATTTATCATCCATAATTGGAGATTTCATTTTCCAGGAAAAATTGTTACCGCTCACTTCCTCGAGATCACCAAACATTGTCAAACCAAGTACAAACCCTAGAACGAATAGAACCAAGCACCTAGAGAACGATTTTCTCCACGAAACCATTTTCCGGGGATATCTAACTCCTCCAAGTGAACTGAAAACACCAAATCCAAACGAGCCTTTTCCGCTGGACACAAGTTTCGGGGACGATTGAACGGCACCGGAAAACGGATTCCCTCCGTTCTGATAATGCCTCTCGTGATACGGCGATAGAGTTCTCCGGATCGACGCCATCGTTAATGGAAACAAATAGACGAGTCAATATAAAGGGAGACAATCAACCGAGTTACATAATTTCCAAAAACAAACGAATGAAATTCATAGGAACGGAATGGATAGTCAACACGATGCCAAACACAATGAATTCACACAGCAAGCAGAGAGGAGCAGAGGAATCCGATACAGAGCACCGATTCTTAGCTTAAAGCAGTTCAATGCACCAAAGCACCAAACTTGTCCCGACTTCCGATCAAATCTCTTCCCCACTCTCCCGGAGTGCATACGTATCTATCAGTGTATCTATAGGTATATCTCTCTGCGCAGAATTCAGCATATTTGGTATGAAATTCACCTGAAATTAAACTCCAAAAATGTTAACTGTATTAATAATCACTCCGTATATGCATACGCTATAATAATAATAATTAATTAATGACGATGATGATAATAATAAGGTATATTTACGTAGTTTCAGAATGATTTCGAGATCTTTACACTGAAAGGCAGATGATAGTCAAGTCAGAGTGTCAGACTAGGCTTTCTTAATTATGGGGTGTTTGGAATTGCCTCTCCTTCTGCTTCTTTTTTAAAATAGAAGTAGAATCAGAATCAGTTTTCAGAAGCTGGTACCTACCAGTTTCTAAAAAAACTGATTTTGAGAGTAAATTAGAACACCAGAAGTGCTTCTGGAATTTCACCCAAACTCTCCAGCTTCTGCTTCTACTCCATGAAGCAGCAGAATCAGTTTTGAGAATCAGATCCAAACACCCCTATAAATACTCCGGTTTAAGATTTTCATTTTGGGATGGGAAAATTGTGTCATAATTATTATAGAGTAAAACAATGTCATAATTTTGTATGCATCTTTACATTTTTTTGTATTACATATTCAAAATATTAAGGTTCAAAGTTACTTTTCTGGTTATATTGGTTGCAGTTAATGTAAGATCGTTTTAACTATTTTTTCATATAATTATTTATTGTATTTATTAATAACAAATATTTTAAATATAATTTTTTCATAAATCAGTAGAATCAGCCTATATAGTCACTTCAGCCAGAATTTTACAAATTTCAGCAAAATTAGTCAATTCAACCAATTTTAGTGTTACCAAACGGGCTCAAAGTGTTGCATATTATTCAAGCCATGAAATAGTAGTTTCATATTTACATTATTTGTATTACATATTGAAGTTTAAAGTATATATCTTTACATTAATTGTATTGCATATTGAAGTTCAAAATGTTGCACATTATTGAGTTTGTAGGTTACTAAATTAATCATGATTTGTATTTGATATCTAATCATATACTCCGTATATATTACTCCCCCAATCCCAATTTGAAAGATACGTTTCTTATTCACTTGATCAACACACATCACTTTTAATCTCTTACTTTATAATTCAAATTTTTATCAAATTTGATTCTGATTTTTGCGACTTTGTAAAACTTTTAATGTGGTTTCTGAATATGTATTTTTTTCTAATTTTTTCTTATAGCACGGTCAGGGATCTGTTTGCTTTATTTTTTTTTATCAAACATTGCAAATTGTAAAGTATCTTATAAAGTGGGATGGAGGGAGTAATATTCTTTAAAAAAATGAGCTTATTACTTTTGGGGGGAAAAGGTCAGATAGACCCTCGAACTTACATAAAAAGGTCAAATAAGCCTTGATATAGGAGGCTCTGTCCAGCCGTCGCCATTTGGGGTGGTTCCCGGTGAAATTTTTTGATGACACTTTTTGAGCATCTTATTCATTAAGTCTAGTTTACTCATACCAAATTTCAGGTAACATTTCAATCGGGAAGGCATTCAAATGAATTCTTGAAGATAACCGCGCTTTTAACTGCGCATTTATCTTCAAGAATTCATTTGAATGCCTTCCTGATTGAAATGTTAGCTGAAATTTGGTATGAGTAAACTAGACTTAATGAATAAGATGCTCAAAATACTTCATCAAAAAAATCCACCTGGAACTGCCCCATGTGACGACGGCCGTACAGAACCTCCTATATAAGTGTTTATTTGACCTTTTATGTAAGTTCGAGGGCCTATGTGACCCTTTTCCCTATTTTTGGAGATCCTGTGCAAAGCCACAATTTGCACGACCCAACTATTACCTTGATTTTATCACGCTTTACTTTGATTCAGCTAAATCAAATCGATATGCTCATAGTGTATTGTACTCATTTTTGCGCTTTGAAATATTCTTTGCGTTTTAATAATTCCCAAAAATGGTTTCTATAAGCTTCCTATTTTATTGCTAGAGCTCTTCGTCCGCTATCGACCTCGTCAAGGAGCGGTGACTTATAGGTCTAGCTTCAACCTATTAAAACAATCCCTAACAATAATACTCACCTTTTTGAAAGAAAGACATAACATGGATTACAACTGAATCATCGGTCTACCGTTTATAATTTTCATATTACAAATAGTCAAAATTCACATTTACAATTAGGATCATGTCCAACGTTACAGGTCAAGCCACATAATCGTTGTGTCAAAAAGTGAAGTATAATAATAATGATAATGGTGGTGGTGGTGGTGTACCTCACAAAAAATAACAACTTAAGTAATAATACAACTTAATGAATGCATTTAGAACGACAATTTTCATCTTTCACGCTAAGAATGTTAAGCACATCATTCTCATCCATTTTTCTCTCATATCTTGAAAATTACATTTGGTGTTTTTAAACAACCTCATAACCTCGAGGATAGCTTGACTTTTTTTGTTGCAAGAAATGTCACATCATATCATATTCATCAACCACGCACAATACTTTTTTAATCAAGTGGGCAATAAAAATAAATTGATTAACCATCTATCATTACCAATCTACTCGCAATGTTCGTTGATTTTAAATCAGTACTACCATTAAATATTACGTAATAAATAAACTTACATTGTAGAAGATCACATACAAAGAATATAAACAATGGTTGTAAAATATGAACTCTCAGATGATCCCACCATTTTAGTAATCATGGACAAATATTTCAAGAAGTCATCTGCAAACTTCTTTTTTATGCCCGCAACATTCACAATAAATTGTTGAAATTGGTGAGAAAAGAATGGGTATATCTTGTGTATGAGATTTCATTTTTCATTCAAGATAAGAGGCTTCAATTTATTAAGCTCACCACGCATATCAGGAGTCTCATCATACCTGTGACCTCTAATTATAAACACTAGAAAAATTCATACTTCACAAAAATACCGTGAATGCCACTATCTAAATACCGGTTGTGTCAACATGTCTAACTGTAAGCAATCATTTCATCATAACTCCATAGTCTTTTAAATGTCTTTTATCGGAATAACAATTTCCATGTTCTCTTTGACGAGATTATTACCTCATCTAATAGTTATACAGAGTATTATTTATCTGGATAAGGGGGCACTATTTTTATCCTAATTACTAATGCAAAAGTTCGGGGTCGGAAGCGGGGGCACTTGCCCCCCCCCCCCCCCAGGACCCCATAGGTCTTCTGTTCGGTGGTTAGCCACGTTGGCTGCTTTTGTCATCCTCGTGGAAGGGTACACTCAGGAAATAAATGACTCATTCTGAGTAGAAGAAGAGGACTCTCAATTTACAATGAAGAGGACGACAACAGGAAACAATTGATAGAGAAACAAACTAGAGACTCCGATACAATGTATCGAAGGATCAAAACTAGAGAAGTCGGCTCTTCTCCTTTCCTCCGATACATTGAGTATGTAACACCGTCCCCAAATGTATTTACTTTTAAGTGAATAATGTATTGAACCTTGTGGAATGGTTAATGAGTATACGAAGTTGTGAATTTTTATTAACTCTTTTGCGTAAATAGTAAATTCGCATGTGGGGCCCACACCAGGAGCGGGGACCGCCCGATATTCCCGAGACCGTATATTCTATTCATCTTGGTCTAGATAATATTTATATGGTGGTGGGTAATTTATTTGGTCCAAAGAAATGACATAATGTGGACCGATTGGTCAAAAGGGGCTCAATTACCGGTATTGGTAATTTAACAGATAACAGCCCGAAATAAATTTCGGAGGCTTATAAATTAAAGTTGGGGAATGTATATTCTTCATAAGTGTCGTAATGATTAAGAACACATAAAATATTTTATTCGACCCGATAAAATAAAATATATTTAAAACAGTCCGAAAAATACAACTTTCGGGACCGATTGTACACTTTGGGACACAAGGGGATGACCTCCCACATGAGTGGGGGCCACCCCACGTTTTTATGTGCTAGAGTAGACAAATATGGGGCTGTTTGACTTGGAAGGAGAGGGGTGGGGTGATGAGCATCAAAGGTACACCCATGACCCCATTTCCCTCACTCATTGGTCCAAACAAGACAAAAGCTACCCACCCCCCTCACCACCATAATTCATTCGGCCAACACATCTCAAGCAAGAGAAAAACCTCCCAGCAAAATATCATCCTCCATAGCCAAGGACAAGCTCAAGCTCAAGGAGAAAGTTCAAAGAAAGAAAAAGGAGGAAAAGTGAGGTGTATTAAGGTAATGACCTCATAATGAGTTTCCTTCATTCCTTTAACCATCATATGACTTATATAGCATATGAAGAACCCTTGTTATGGTTCTACATGTTTACATATGTAGGAAGATGGGTTGGAAGGTGATTCTATGTCCAAACACGGACATAGAAGCCAAAACGACCGGTTTAATTACCGGAAATAACCTTTTAGAGGTTATTTGTATTGATTAAGGTTTTATGATGTTAAAACCTTGTTAGGAACTTGATTAAAGTATTTTTGAGTTTCGCCGGAGTTTCGCTGGAGTTGGTCAAAGTTCGCCGGAGTTGGTCAAAGTTCGCCGGAATTAGTCAAAGTTCAATCGGGAAGCGTAGAACGCGCTTAAGCTCACTTAAGGTGAGGATGACCGACTATATTGCTTATAATTATTGGGTTAATTTCATGAGATTACCTAAATGAATTAGATGTGTTTGGCATGGTTTATAAATGATAAAAAGTGCCTAAATGAAATTAATATTGTTTATAAATTATAAGTGAAAGTGCATAATATACAAATTTATGAATAAATTGTGTATGATTATGTGTTAAAATAAAGTGGCATCATAGTTGTATTAACCATGAATGTTCATTGTGATAAATATACTTTTACCTCATGTAAAGAAGTCATGGAAGGATAAAAGTGATATTTTAATATTAGAGCCAAACTATACTTGAATGTGGAACTAAATTGAAATATACGAATTATTATGAATTAGCATTGGTTATATTAAGATTAAGCGACTAGTATAGAAATACTAGTCGGAAATGTAAGTTCAATAGTTCTTTGGGGCTAATCCCAAGATATTGGAGCTAAGTAACCTTAAAGGATATTTTTAAGGTGGACTTTATGAACTCAAGTTACATTAGGAGTAGGCCTTAAGGGTTACTCAAAATGGAGGGAGCCTAGACTAAGAAATTGTTTAGGATTAGATGACGTGACTATGAGCCGAGCTCT